TGATAGCCAATTCTTAATCCATGCCAATATATTACCCCAAACCCACGTTCATCAATTTAATCTCTTAAATTGGATTTTATTAAAGGCTTTCTGAAAATCCAAATACACTGCATCCATTGAATTTTCCTTATCAATTCTATTAGTTTCATCCTCAAAACTCCAGTAGGGTTGTCAAACAGGGTTTTCCTTCGTAAATCCATGCTTTGTCTAATCCCATTGATATATTCAAAATGCCCTGTTATCACATACTTTATAAAAGACTCTAGAATTTTCCCTACTATGTATGTTAAACTAATCATAGTCTGTAATTCCCTATATTTCCTTCCCTCATTAAAAATAATTAGGATATATTTACCATCCTCAAATTTGCCAGGACAATTCCAGAATCTACTGGATTTTGGAAGATGACAGCCAGCATATCCACTACTGAGTACTCTGTGACACAGACTATAAAAGTTCAGCGTTTAATCAGTTTCAATGCCATTAACTTTTCCAGCACCACCTTTCAATTAATACTATTTTCCTTTAATTCCTCCTCATGAGACCCACGTTTCCCTAATATTTGAGGAGTTGTGTCTTTTCCAGGAAGACAGAACTAAAATGGTTGTTTAATTGTTTAATCATTTCTTTGTTCTTGGTTATCATTTATACTGTTCCAGGCTGTAAGGGACCTCCATTTGCTTTCAATTTTCTTTTTTATATACATACTTATACAAGCTATTAGAGTCCACTTTTATGTTCCTTAACAGGTTACTTGTTTTCTTTTCTTTTCTTAGATTGGTTGGTTCTTCTTTACTGAATTCTAATCTGCACCCAATCCCAGGCACTACTTTTTTTCAGCAACTTTATATGACTCTTCTTTGGACTTAATAATATCCTAATTTCTATTGTTTACCATAGTTGGGCTACTTTTCCTGTTGTTCCTTGCTTAAGCAAAAACACATAAGCGTCGCAATGCATATATTTGTCCCTTAAATATTAGCCATTGTCAGTCATGACTTTCAATGAAGTTACCCAAACAACCATAACCGACTCACCCTTCATACCTTTGTAGTTTCCTTTGTTTAGATTTAAGGATCTAGTTTTGAATTGGACAACTTCACTTTCGAACTCAAAGAAGAATCGAATGTTATGGTCCCTCTTCCCGAAGGAAACCTTCGCAACAAGATTAACTAATTAATCCCTTCTCATTGTACAGTACCAAATCGAGGATAGCCCATTCCTAGATGGGTCCCTGAAGTACTGTTCTTAAAAAAAAATCTTGCACACAATCCAGAAATTGATCTGCCACTGTATTATTGCTAAGGGGGTTTGTCCAGTCCACATGTAGATTAAAATCACCCATGATTACTAACAGCGCCCCAGCTGGAGGCTTCTCTAAGTTTCCATTTAATGTTGAGCCCTACCTTATCTCTATTGTTTGAAGACCCATAGATAATTCCCAATGATTTTCACTCCTTGCTGCTTCTTAGTTCCACCAAAACGGTTTCCATATCTAGGTTTGCCGTGTTCATACCTTTCTCAGAGTTCCAAAGATTTCATCCTTTGCTAACAATGCTATCCCACCTCCTTTACCTATATGCCTGATCTTCCTAAAGATTGAACAGCCTTGAGTATTCAGCTCCCAGCCTTGGTCACCAGGCAGCCATATCTTGGTAATCACATTATATCAGACTCATGTACAACTATTTGCACTATTAATCTATCCACTTTATTGCTAATGCTGCATGTATTTAGATACAGTGCCTTTCCATTTGTCTTTTAAACATCTTTACATGAGGTGGGGCGGGGAAAGGATAGAGTAGATAGAGAGAAATGATCCCTTTTCATAAAGGGATTGAGAACAGGAAAGTGTAAGATATAAGATCACTTGCAAAACAAGCAAATGTGTGATGTGAGAAAATCTTCTTTTGGAGTGGTTAGTTAAGGTCTGCAAGTACGGCAGAGATAGGTTGCAGTGAGGCAATGATGAGGGTTTTAAATGATTGTGAGAATAGAAAATGTGGAAGACTATGGAAAAATGGCAGAAGAATGGCACCAAGTCATAATACTCGTTCAGAACGCCAGCTTCCTTCTGCACCATAGCAATTTTGTGATTCAGAACGTGGCCAAAAAGGTTGATTATCAACCTCTAAATCCTTCCAATATATCTGTAGTTGGTAATGAAAGTGGGAGTGTCTCCTGGTCAGTTATGTTTAACGTGGAGTACAGCCACCAGCCTACAGCTTCTGGTGACAAGCTAGGTGAACTGTTCTAGGAAAATACAGTTAAGGAAACGGACCCAAACAAATACTTTATTTGCCTCGTAAGCCACCAGCTATAGAGTCATAGAGATGACCAGCATGGAAACAGACCCTTCGGTACAACTCATCCGTGCCAACCAGATATCCTAAATCAACCTAGTCCCATTTACCAGCATTTGGCCCATATCCATCTAAACCCCGCCTATTCATATATCCATGCAGATGCCCTTTAAATGTTGTAATTGTACCAACCTCCACCACTCCCTCTGGCAACTCAATCCATACACGCACCACAGTCTGCGTGAAAAAGTTATCCCTAGGTCCCTTTTAAATCATTCCCCTCTCACCTTAAAACTATGCCCCCTAGTTATGGACTTCCCTACCTTAGGAAAAAGACCTTGGCTATTTACCGTATCCATGCCGCTCATGATTTTATAAACTTCTATAACGTCATCCCTCAGCCTCCGATGATCCAGGGAAAACAGCCCCAGCCTTTTCGGCCTCTCCCTCTCACTCAAACTCTTCAACCCTGGCAACATCCTTGTAAATCTTTTTTGAACCCTTTCAAATTTCACAACATCTTTCCTACAGCAGGGAGACCAGAACTGAATGCAGTATTCCAAAAGTGGCCAACCAATGGCCTGCACAGCTGCCAATGATCTGACATATATTTAGACTGATATGTATGTTATTTTAAAGTAATATGGCCCATGAGAAATTATCTACTTGCTCTGAATCTTTGATACAAAAACATGACTTTCTCACGACTAATTCTCATAACACAGAAAGCCTCTTCTCAAACTATATTTGATGGATCAGTGTTAAGAAAAGAATAAGCAGGAGAAGACTTAGGTGACCTAAACACACCAGTAGAGAAAGTTGGGCTAATGGCCATTTCTGTTGTGTATTTTACGTAATGTAATCTAGTTTATTTACTGGCCTCTAATGAAACATGATACCAATTATGTCAGAGAAAATAAAATGGAGCACCTAAACGATCCCTAAAATTTTTAAAGCTCAACTGCTTATTATATTCTTCCGGTTATAACCCAGCTCTTCACCTCCATTATTCATCATAAACCCTGACAGTCATCAGTAGCTTGTACATTCTATATGGCAACGCCTCTGTACCTAAAGTCCACTTGCCAACAAATCAGAACTCTTCTCTCATGCAGTATGAATGTTGTTTCCCTTTACATTGGCATTTCTTGCAAATTATCCTGAGTCCAATATGAAAAGCTTCAACAATTTTTTTCTTTTAATCACTCATGAGACATGGACACCATTTGGGAGCCAGCATTTATTGCACATTCTTAGTTGCCTTTGAGAAGCTGGTGGTCAACCTCCTTCTTGAACTACTGCAGTCCACGCACTGCAGGTTAACCCACAATACCTCTCGAGAGGCAATTCCAGGATTTTGGCCCAAACAAAATGAACAAACAGCGATATATTTCCAAGTCAGGACAGCAAGTGGCTCAGAGCAGAACGTGCAGATGTTGGTGTTCCTACGTATCTGTCACCCTTGTCTTTCTCGAATGAAGTGGTTGTGGGTTTGGAAGGTTATACTTTCTCACAATATTAATCATTTGGTCATTATTTGCTACTTTCTAAAACTGTCCCAGTCCTCAAGCTTACCTTTAGGAACGTTGAAACATAAAAACAGAAGTAGGCCATAAAGCCCCTTGAGCCTGTTCCACCATTTAATGAGATCATGGCTGATCTGTAGCCTAATTCCACATACCTGCCTTTGGCCTATATCCCTTAATACCGTTGCTACACAAAGGGATCTATCTCAGATTTAAAATTAACAACTGATCCAGCACCCACTGCCATTTGTGGAAAGAGTTCCAAACGTCTTCCAGCCTTGGTTTATAGAAGTGCTTCCTAATATCTCTCCTGAACAGTCAGGCCCCAATTCTCAGACCATGCCTTATAGTTCCAAAATCTGCAACTATCAGAAATGGTTTCTTTATCTACCCCATCTCTTCCTGTTCATATCTTGAAGACTTCTTGGCAATATTATGGAGCTCTTTTCTAATAATATTTTAGGTTCTTTAGTTAACTACATATGGAACACTTTCCTGTGGATTTTTTAACTGAAATGCACATTTTTAAGTCATATGAAATATTTCCTTAAGTGTTTACCATCACTAATCCACAATCATTCCTACTGAGCAAGTACAGAAGCTTTTGGATTCATATTTAATTCACAGATACTCCTCTTCGCAGAATGCTCACCTTGAAGTTCTGCTCTTGTCTCTGACAAAAGCTCTTGCTTTTCTCTTTTGCATCTTTCCTTTCAGTCATAGCCAAAGAAATATACAGAACAGAAACGGACCCTTCGGTCCAACTTGTCCATGCCAATCAGATATCCTAAATTAATCTAGTCCTATTTGCCAGCATTTGATCCATATCCCTCTAAACCCTAGTCTTTCAACCTCTTTCACTGACTTTCAACTTACTTAAAATCTGTTACAACAAAAACTTTTCCAATTCTGATGAGACTTGTGACATTAACTCTTGTTTTGATCTCCACATGTACTGTCTGACCAGCTTCATTTTCTAGCATTTTCTGATTTTAACTTTTATTTCCAGCATCTGCAGTACTTTATTTTGCATCAGCAATACTCGAATACTTACTTTTCTTGATTTTATTCCACATCCCATTAAGCACATTATAACACAACTAGCATATTGACACCTCAGATTTCTTGATTTTGATCATTTATCTACTGCACTTATTTTTAAAAAACTCACAAAGGTGGGGATTGAGTACTTTCTTTATTTGTTCTCCTTTTGGTGTATTAGCCAAGACCTCGTTCAACCTATAGAACAATTAGAAATTTCAACAATTACAAAGAATGGAAACCTTAATTATTTCAATATATAGATGCATCAATCGGAAATTGAAAATTATGTTATGCAGGAATTTTCTACTGGATTGAATCTGGCTAACTTAGTTCCTGAAATCAAAACAATGTCCCCTTTTTCATATTGTGTGTACTTACTGCCTCAGAAGTGGTCTTATTGAATTAAAATGCAAATGGGATTGATTTCAGAAAGTTTTCCATGGTATTTTTTTGCTGTGGAATGCACTGCCTGCTGCAGCCCTAAACGTTACGCCCGAAGAAATTCCGAGGGTGGTCCAAGTCATCTCAGATTCAAGCTGTCAATAACTTTTTCGTACTTCTAGAAAAATAATCACTTCCTTTTAAAGGACAGGCAAACAGGATCAGTGGAGTGAGATATTTTTTGGCCAATGTTGGATAGCAATCAAAAGAGATACTAGGCCATTTGCCATCACCACTCCAGTAGTCCTGCAGCATCAAAATACTTTCCACTAATTCTGGATGAATTCCTGTTCTAAAGGGTATATCTCTGCCAGTATTATTTCAGGCCTCAGATGAGCAGAATACTGAAATACAAGTGGATTAAGTTCTATTCACGGTGTGCTTTGTCCAACTTTACTTTAGTCTGAGGATGAGGAAGGAAACTCAATCCAATACCTTTTAGCTAATGACAATCTGAAATACAACTGAATTAATGCTGAATGAATCACTCCTCGATATTTAAATAAGCATGAAAACAGACACACTACTGCCCTCATCTCATCTATCACCAAATCTACAACAATTTCAAACTACTGAAACAAATAAGGGCTTGAAAGTTTGTTGAAGTATTCATTCTGTAATTGATGAGGGGTACAGCCAGTCATTCTACACACAAAAGATGAAGTTTAAAATCAATTGAAACAGTATCATAGAGTTTAAATTTAAAAAATATTTGCCTTCCCCATCTGAACAGTATTCTTGCAAGGTGAAAACTACTGGGTTATTTTAAAAAAGGCTCAAATTTTAAACAGTTCAGGCCTCCCAACACTGGTCCCAGGTAGATGTTGAGGCGCTCCGTCAAATATATGTCCATTCTACACCTGACTTGAAAATCTTCGTGTAATTTTGTTCATTCTGCTCTGCATCTTTCCAACATTAAACAGGTAGAAGATAATATAGTCAATTGTTTGTTTTTAAAAGAAATTGCTGATACAAAACTCCAGTATCACGTACTAACATACCGCTATATAAATCCTTTCATAATGCCATAAAATGTTGTTTAATGCACATTCATAACATGGAATCTGAAACAATGAACAAAAAAAAATTGCCAATGATTTCAGAATTGATGGTCAATAGCTTTGTCAAAAAGAGAGGCGTACCACAAATGAGAAGAAAAGAGGAAGAGCAGACCGAAGAGGACTTGGACAGCAGAATTTTTTGTATCATCATGTCATAAGTATGAGCAAAAGTTTTTGAAGGGTGCAAAATGAGAGGTTGGCCAGGACAGCATCAGAATAGTCAAATCCAGATGTAGCTTTGGCACAGGTAAAGGTTTCAGCAGCAAATGATGAAGACAAGTTTGGAGGTTAAGGTGGAAGTAGGCAGTCTTGGTGATGGTGAATGTGTATTGGAAATTCATTACAAGGGTCAAGCAGAACAGCATGGACAGGGAACAGCCGGTTTGGAAGAGGCACATTCAAATAAAGCGAGGAAGGTTTAAGAAGGCAATTCTAGAACTCGGGACCCAGGCAGTTGAAGGCACAACCACCATTGATGGAGCAAGTAAAATCAGGGAAACGCAAGAAGGTAGAGCTGAAGCAAAGCAAAGATCTCAAACAGTTTGAGGGGCTGAAAACATTACAAAGAAGGAGACAACAGTACTTTATTTACAAACTGATAATCTGTCTGGACAATCCCAAGTAGTTTTAACTTTATACAAAGCACATGATTAGGAGGGGAAAAACATGCTTTAATGTTGAACACCTGATCTCCTAAATAACATAATAAAATTTAGGTACCACAGATGTCATCACACTTAATAAAATTTATCTTCATTACAAAATCAAGTTGGGTACATTAATTGAAAAGTATTGCTTGAAGCAAAGTATAACACTTCATCCACCAGAAACATTACAAAGTTAAAGGCAATGCCATAAATATATCTAGATTTCATTAATTTTGAGTCATTTGCATGATAAAAGTACCTCTCTAAAGATAGTGGAGGCTCTGGACCTTTAGCATTATCAACAGGATATCGTTCACGAACAGCAAACTTCACATCTTGTACCTCATCAGTACGGAAACGCAGGAGATTTAGAATTGTATACTCATTGTCAGTGAGGATTATGTTACCCTGCAAGTACACAGATAGAAGATTTAAAATTAAAAATCCTGGTAGAAACAAAGAATCACAAGTAGATTTAAATTTTTTGAAAACATCAGGTACAAGAACCCATCCCATAACATTTGAATTTTACAGCTTCAATTAAATGGTAGGACACGAAGAATGCAGAAGTTTGTCCTTTGTACCAGTCAGCATTAAGGAGGCTGATATCAACTAACTGGAAAAAGAAGAAGAATCATGTAGGGGAAAAAAAAAAATCACAAAGACAGGCCATTTGGACACAAATTTCTTCCATTCCATTTAGTCCAACTCAGTTTGTCTCACGTATTCAGCTGTTTTCTTTTGAAAGTAGCTATGTTAATTTGCTTTAAGCGCTTCCCAAGGCAGCGAGTTCCTCATTTTAACAACTAACTTGACATTGAGAGAGATAACAAGTGAACATATTACTTATTGTCATATATTAGACTCTCTGTTGAAAGATTCTGACTATTATTTAAGCTTCAGGTGAAACCCCGAAAACCTTAGAAAGAAACCGTTCAGTTTTAATTTCAGTTTGGAGAATTCTGAAGGGTTTGTAGAAGATGAATGTATAAAGTATTGCCCCTGTAAAAGGGAGAAGATTCCTAAAAAATATCTCAGCAAGGAATTTTGTAACAGTTCCAGACCAAAGGTTTGGGTAAAACTCTAAAAGGGATTATTTGTAGCTGAGAAAGTTTAAACTCAGGTGTACAAAGGCTCCAGGAAGAGGCTGACTGAGAATTGAAGTCAAAGTTAAATTAAACCTTTGCAGTTGACAGACAAGGGAGATTCTCTCTTGTGTGAGCAATGTAAAGGGTTGCTTTTGGGATATGTGAAGAAGTGTTTTTTGCAATTAATGGGAATATATTTATTTTGAAATAATTTGTTTTGAAATCTTTAAACATGACGGACATTTGGTTTGGTTTCTTCTAGATTATCTTCATTTCTTTTGCACAATAATTTTTTTGCATAACAAACTTCTGCAATATTGTGTGTTTGTAATTCATAAAGAGACTACCTCATTAAAACCAAAATAAAAGCTGTTCTATTAAGCCAGATTTCAGCCTGGGATGGTAGCTGGCCAGAATAACATCAGCTGGGATCAGAACTGTCATCCAGGGGAGTTCTGGATTTGTTTGTCCTAGCTTTCCCTTTTCAGGAAATATACCATGACTGTACTCAAACATTGCTCTTTAAAGTGTACGGAGTTCTATCAATAAAAATAACCGCAACCTTGCCATTTCAATAAACCATCTTGCTCCCATGCTGACACTTTAATCCTTGGCCCACTACAATACTCCAACGAAACTCAATGCAAGATGGAAGAACACCTCATTTTTCCACTTCAGCACCTTACAGACTCTAAGACTCAATATTAAGTTCAACAACTTCAAAGCATGACCTCTAACCTCCATCTGATTATAACCACCCCAGCTTGTTAGGTTTTGCTCCTTGCAGTGCAGACCCATTTTCTTTTCACACCTATAAATTTACCCATTTTACATCTCTATCTCTCCTTTACTATCATTAGTACTCCCGTTCCTTTGCTTTCAGCACCCTCATCTATTCTGTTTACTTCTCCTCCACTTCCGTCAACAGCAGAAAAATCACAAATATCCCAGCCCATTTCAATTCTGAAAAAGAATGAAAACCGGATTGGAAACATTAACTCTATATCTCCATATATGCTGCTAGGCTTTCTGAATTTCTTCAGCATTTCTGTTCTTAATGCATATTTCTTGCTGGATGGACACATACTGCTGCAGGAAATTCTCCTGAACATAGTCTAGAAACACTTGCACCTTATTGCCTTACATCATCAGTATTCCAATCTGGATTTGGGAAATTAAAATCCCCCATTATAACTACTCTATAATGGTAACATTGCCCTGATTTTGCTGCAGATTTGTTCCTCTACACCTTTCCACTAGTTGGTGTCTAAACACTAAATCAAGTAATGTAAATGAACCATTTTTCTTCCTTAGCTCTAGCCAAATTGATTCTGTCCTTGAATCCTTCAACACATCCTCTTTCTTCAGCACTGCAAAGCACTCCTTAAACAATTTAGCCCTCCCTCCTCCTTTCTTCCTTTTGAGTATTTTGCATCCAGCATTATTTAACACCCAGACAACAAGGTGCAGGGCTGATGAACACAGCAGGCCAAGCAGCATCATAGGAGCAGAGAGGCTGACGTTTCGGGCCTAGACCCTTCATCAGAAAAGCTTTTCTGATGA